TGGCATGACTATTCATGAGCTTGAGCATGTTTTGCATCACTTGTTGGACCGCCGGTCTTCTACTGCTCTCAGTACATCTTCCTCGTCGTTTTCCCGCTCAAGTAACTTAGTCTCGTCTCCTTATGTTTTCCTTTCTCATAAGTCTTTGCCTTGGATTATTGATTCTAGTGTCTCAAACCATGTCTGGATCCTCTAACCTTTTCTCTGCCTATAAGCCCTCTTCAGGTCCAGACAAAGTTAGGATTGCAGATGTTACTGTTTCTTCTATTTGTGGGAAAGGTTTAGTCCATGTCACTCTTACCATACCTCTTTTCTGTTCTCCATGTTCCCAATTTTTCTGTTAACCTGCAATCCTTGAGTCGTATTACAAAGGATTTGAATTTTAGTGTGACTTTTTTTCCTAATCATTGTCTTTTTCAAGACCTTGTCACGAGGACGATTGGCAGTGGTAGTGTAGAAAATGATCTCTATTTCCTGGATCAACGAGACATGCTTGCTTATTCTTCCACCACGAGTCCTACTACCAAAGATGATCTATGGCTGAGGCATCAACGTCTTGGGCATCCTACTTTTTATTTACTTAAGCATTTATTTCCATCTGTTTTTGCAAACAATAATGTGTCTGAGCTTCTTTGTGAGTCTTGTCAACTTAGAAAACAACACAGAGCCTCCTTTGCTCCCAGTTTTAATGAAAGTTTAGTTCATTTTTCATTAATACATTTTGATGTCTGGGGTCCATTTCGTGTTACGTCTGTGAAAGGTCATTGATGGTTTGTTTCATTTTTTGATGATTTTTCTCGTACTACTTGGGTGTATCTCCTAAAAGATAAGAGTGAGGCTTTCTCTGTGTTCCGCACTTTTCATAAGATGATTTGTACTCAGTTTGGGGCCACTATCAAAATCTTCCACTCTGATAATGGGGGTGAATATATAGATTCTAAGTTAGGGCAATATTTTTCTTTTTATGGCATTATCCATCAGACTTCTTACACCAATACCCCTTAACAAAATGAGTTGACAGAACGTAAGAATCATCATCTTCTTGACATGGCTCAGTGCATGTGTCTTTCTATAAGTGTGCCTCGGTCTTACTAGGGCGACGCTATTCTCACAGCTGCCCATCTTATTAATCGTCTTCCTGCCCAGGTCTTGCAAAAACAAGCTCCCCTTCAAGTCCTTCTAGGTTCCGAGTCCTTGTTTTCTATTCCTCTCAAAATATTTGGTTGTGTCTGTTTTATCCACAATCACTCTTCTACTCGTGGTAAGTTGGACCCTCACTCCCTCAAATGTGTTTTCCTTGGGTACTCTCCTACTTAAAAGGGTTATACATGTTATCACCCGCATTCTCGTAAGTGGTTTGTGTCCATAGATATCACCTTCTTTGAGTCCCAGTCTTATTTCTTGTCCTCTCAGGTGTCACAGTCTTCCCTTCAGGGAAAGCCTTGGTGTGAAGTGATGCCTGTGATTCCTATGGTGAAACCAGTTGTTCTTGCACCACCACCTCTTACTGGGACTACAGAACCCAATGTCATCAATGATAGGAAAGGGCAAGTTTATGTCAGGGACAAAGACAGACAGAGAGTTAACTAGATATAGGAGACCACTTCTGCTCACCCACTGCCATCTCCTGCTTCTGATGAGAGTCCAAGCAACTTTGAATCTCTTGAGTCCACTGATTTTGATACTCCTATTGATCTTGATGTTCCTATTGCCAAGAGAAACGGTGTGAGATCTTGTACTCAACATCCTATCTCAAATTTTGTGTCCTACTCTCATTTGTCGTCCTCATATAGAGCTTTTGTGTCAAATATTTCCTCTGTTAGCATTCCTAACCATTTTCAGGATGCTCTTGCTACCTCTGAGTGGAAACTTGCCATGATTGAGGAAATGAAAGCACTTAGGAAGAATGGCACTTGGGAATTGACTGAGTTACCTAAGGGCAAACGACCTGTGGGATGTAAATGAGTGTATACTGTAAAACACAAAGCGGATGGTTCTATTGAGCATTACAAGGCCCGACTTGTAGCAAAAGCGTTCACTCAGACATATGGCGTTGACTATCAGGAGACCTTTGCACCTGTCGCTAAGATAAATTCAGTCAGAGTACTTCTCTCTCTAGCAGCTAATCTAGATTGGTCACTTCATCAATTTGATGTAAAAAATGCCTTTCTCCATGGTGACCTAGAAGAAGAGGTATATATGGACATTCCTCCTGGTTTTGAGGATCATCAGACAGAGGGTAAAGTATGCCGGCTTCGAAAATCATTATATGGTCTCAAACAGTCTCTAAGGGCTTGGTTTGAGAGATTCACTCAGACTATGCTTAAATATAGCTTCAAACAGAGAGAGGTAAATCACACCTTGTTTATAAAACATTCATCACGTAGTAAGACTACAGTGCTCATTCTTTATGAGAATGATATAGTTCTTACAGGTGATGATAGTGAGGAAATCCCTTTGTTGAAGAATGTTTAGCAAGTGAGTTTGAAATCAAAGACTTGGGGAGCTTGAAGTATTTTCTAGGAATTGAAGTTGCTTGCTCCAAGGATGGGATATTTATCTCACAGAGAAAGTATGTACTTGACATGTTGAAGGAAACTGGGATGCTTGGCTACAAAGCCTACCACTGCACTAGAACCCAATCAGAAACTAGGGGATGATGGAGGAGGAGCAGCTGTTAATAAGGGGAGCTATCAACGATTAGTGGGTAAGCTCATCTACCTATCTCACTCCCATCCTAATATTGTTGTTGTTGTCAGTGTGGTTAGCCAGTTTATGCGTGCTCCTCATTAGATTCACCTTGAGGCTGTCATAAGAATTTTGAGATACTTGAATACTATTGGTAAGGGTCTTTATTTTTCAAAGGATGATCATCTTCGTGTGGAAGCCTATACAAATGCTGATTGGGCTGGATCAGTAACTGATAGGAGATCGACTTCAAGGTATTGCACCTTTGTTGGAGACAACCTAGTTACTTGGAGAAGTAAGAAACAGAATGTGGTTGCTAGGTCAAGTACAGAAGCTGAGTTTAGAGCTATAGCACAAGGAGTGTGTGAGCTCTTATGGATCAAGTTATTGTTGAGTGATCTAGGTATTGATCAGACGGACTCCATGCGGTTATATTGTGATAATAAGACGCCATCAACATCGCTTACAATCCGATTCAACATGACAAGACAAAGCATGTTGAGATTGATCACCATTTCATTAAGGAGAAACTCACTAGTGGCACAATATGTACTCCATTTATGCAGTCTGGTGAACAACTCATTGATATCTTCACCAAGGGAGTTGGGAGTAAGCCATTGCATGACATCCTAGGCAAGCTAGGCATAAGAGATATTTTCACACCAGCTTGAGGGGGAGTGTTAGAATAGCATATTATTAGTTTGGTTATTATGCGATTGTAATTATTCTATGCCTTAGGACTCCCTTGTAATTATTAATCTTCATTAATATAAAAGGGGGATGATATCACAATCATTCCCTAATCTTGGTCTTCTAATAGCAATTTAAGGTATTTTTCCATATATGGTAGAACAAAATACTTATAAAAATCCATATTGTTGACAATCAGCTGATCAATTGGACTTTTAGAGTAGTTGGTCATTAACATGACATCGCAATGAAGTCCTGTGCGCAAATACCATCTCCTCCATGGCAATCCCAACTACTTTGGAACAATAAGTATACTAGTAGCATGTGAGTGAGGTCTCCTCTGCCACATATGCTAGGGTGGTTATTCCTTTGCTTCGCATTGTTGGATGAATATTATCGTGTTTTGGAAATGAAATGCATACAATGCTAATATATTTTAAAGTTGGTAAAGCTCTTTGTTCAACTATACTATTTTCATAAGAATGATGATGTCCATTCTTATTGTATATTTGGTTTAATGTTATAATTGGGCTTTGTCTCACCTATCTGACCTATGTGTGTAGGTGAAAAAGTAATTAAAGGCATCATGTTTCAGATTTGTATGTATTTATATATTTGACGTGAATATTTGCATGCTTTAGACCTTCTAAAGGAGGTATGTAGTGTCAAGATCATTGTATATAGTTTGTTTCAAACATAATATGTAACTTTTCTTTCTGCTTAAGTTGTACTCCTTTTGTGATTAAGCTAGGATGGTTGTAAAAGAAAATATTGAAGTGTTTTCACTACATTTATTTTTCGCACATGCTCTGAATGGATGTTATGGGACAAACAAGTTAAAGGAATTGAAAGCTTCCGCTATCTAAACAAATTTTACCACATATAGGAGTACATGTTTGTCCAGTTAGGCCTTTGCTAGTTTACGATCACTGGCAGGTCACTACTTGTCTCAGTTTGGATTGAGATAGGGTTGTGACAAGATGGGTGCCTCACACCTTCCCATCTCATACCCTAGCCCCCGAAGTCAGTCTTCAACGGCTTTTTTAAAATAATAATGCTTTATTTTTTTAGTCAATTTTGGGTTCTTGGAGATACACTAAACAAAACCTACTGACGATTCCCAACTTTATTTCAAAACAAAAGATCCAAAAATAAAATACAAAGATATTTTTTGGGCGCTAAGCTACACATGGGCTAGGACATGGCTAAGGGGTTTCTAAGGCCTAAGGATAAGCAAGAAATCATGCCACCTCCGCCATGGATGGCTACCTAGCACCTTCCCTGGGAAGTCCTAGGGAAGAAGTCTCAACACTACAGAGGGAAAACACTTCATGTGCACTGTTTTTACTTGCAACCTTGTTTAATCTTTCAGGCTTCATTCTCTACAAATACCATGATTTTTCATAAACATGTTTGATTTTTGCATATACTTTTTCTGTTCACGAAATTATTAATCCTTTTGAACTTGACATACTGTTTGTATAGCTTTATCACTTCACAATTACAAAGTTCTATGGAAAATCAAAGCCATATAATTTGACAGCCTATAGACTAAATTTTACTTGTTTCTATCAAGTTCTGTAGTAAAAGCACATAGATCAAAAATTGGAAGAGAAACTTGCCTCAACGGGGTCAGAAGAGATATACCCAATATCGAAGATATGCACTTCACTGCTTTTCATAGATGTACAAGCAACCTGAAGCAGTAAGTCATTCTGTCATGAAGTTTGAAACCCAATAGGAATTAAAAAAAAAAAAAAAAATCATTCAAATCAAGTACATCATAAGCAGCAAACTCAACCAGCAAATGTATTTAACACCTCAATTAAGGGGGTTTAGCCTGGCCATGTATATCAAATCCATAGGTATCTCCAGTTTTGCTTGAGAAAGAAAACAAAAAAAGCATGCATCCAGGCAGAGACAACTACTCATGACCGATATTCCAGTAACAACCCAAGTGATATTGATGCTAAAGCACCCAATGATGTACATTAGATAGCAATAAAATGCCAAAGCACATATCCATGCCCATTGCATAACCACATGTATGACTTTGAAAACAATTTATATATATATAAATCAATATTATTAAGGAAACAGCATCAAGTCAATGCTAACGAATACAAAGCAACAACCACCAACCAACACCCTCTAACTATAAAGAGTATCTAAAAAATCTAAAAAAGAAAACACATCCGAATCCACTTGCCCCGACACCCAACTATACAAGACTCCCAAGAACCGATTCTTCAGTGAGCCACAGACTCCACCCCCAGAAAGATCCTACTATTTCTATTTCACTCCAACCAAATGAACCACATCAAACACAAAGGCACATGAACTCAAGACTTCTGACGACGCTTCCCAACTAGACCCCTTTCCAACTATGGAGGACACCCTCCACATTCCTTTGCTGCACCTAGGCACCCACAACTGGTGGGCCAAGGGCAATGGATAAGAAAACGGAAGTCGATTCCACATCCCTGCAACGCATACAACTCCAATTCACCAAAATATGACGAAGCTGAATAAGATTATCAATTGTCAAGATCCTATCTAACACCGCCGCCCGGAGCACCAGCAATCCACAAACTCCGCCATGGGAAAAGAGAATCTGCACCTCCCTCCAAAGCTTGATAAAAGGATGAAATGGTGAATGACTTTGAAAAATTGGAGGAGGATGTTGAAGCACCAAATGTAATTATTTTCTTCTTTTTTTCCTTGAGTAAATATCTCCTGACACCCTCAGATGGGAAGTGCAGGATTAAAGTCCTAGTTGAAGGTTGGCAATTGTCAATCTGTCTTACTTACTTTGAGAGAGAGAGAGAGAGAGTAAATGATATATGGAATAAAAACTCTAAATGGAAATTTAATAAATGTGGCAATGCCAAAAAGAAACATTTTGTGTCTACTGACTTATTCAATTTCGCACTTCTACTCAAATTTTTGACATTCTGGCTCAAAAAGATGAAACAAAGAAACTACACCGAAGACTATAATTTTCAGAGGCAATAGTTTGTTTCAGGGCAGATAGGAAATGCTTAATATCATTCTCATGAAGATAACTGATTTGAGTTTACTCAGAAAAAGTTATCTCCACATCCTCTATGTTAACTGAAAATCAACATGATGAGGGGAGAATATCTCCATAACAAATTCTAGATATGCATCAACAGAAAAAATATATATATTCTTATTAGTTTTCCCTGGACCTTGTTTAGACATTTTGAAGGGCACCGCTTAAGGGGAACAAGCAAATCCAATAGATAAGTTATAGTTATAGACACTATGTCATGCTTTGAAATGCGCAAGTGAAAGTACAATAAAAATCAAAATCAAACCTCATCCTGGTTTGCAAGATTCCATCGAACAGCATCAAGTTGTTGACATGTAGAAATGTGCAGCAAATGCTTTGTCTCATCTTCCTTCAGCCCTGAAGGACACTCAAAGTTCACTGGATAAAATGTAGAAGAAGAGAGTAACTAGGAATTCAAAGTCTAAAAGTAGGATGTTGTCAAATGAAATTTGTTTCCAAGTAACAATATATAAGTTCAAACTTCAAACCAGTAAAACTGAAGAAAAAAAACTAATAGCAATGACAATAATAATGATAACATTTATGGTAATTATATTATTAGTGTTGTTATTATTATAAACAATAGCAATAAAAATAATTTGAAAATAAAAAAAGAAAAAAGAAACAGAAGGCATAAACGCAAATGCAAAGACTAAGAACAAGAAATTCAAGATATGAACAGAAGAAGATTGTTCAAGAACTTGTGTAGGCATGGACAAAGTAATCATTGTATAGTTACCTCCATATTGGAGTTCAGCTCGGCTAATAATTTACTACTGCTGATAGATGAGGTTGAGTTATTCATTAACATACAGTTAGTTTTCCAGTTGTACATAATTTTTTGACTTGCATAATTGAGTGTTCAACCCTTTGCAATTGATAATTAATTCACTGATAAATTATCAGATGTAGCAATTGAATATAATTATGTCATCCTATTAAGTGTCAATGCTGCCCCAGTGGTGAATCAGATTTGGCTTCAGAGTCATCTAATTGAATATAATGAGAATGGTAGTGAAGAAGAGAGGGATAAAAATATAGGTAACGCTGCTGGAACTGGAGTTTCAGATTGCTTAGCAATGGCAGCATTGGAGGAGGGGCTTCGCTCCACATGCTTGGCATTGGGAAGTAGACCTGGTTCTTCAGTAAATGAGAAACAACTAGATGAAGTAGGAGATGATCCGGTACATTGCTGTCCGATGCATTCTGCTGACCAGAACGATGTGTGTGGTGTGTACTTAGCTACTGAAGCTCCGTCAGCGGCTGAGAGTGCTGCATATAGCCTAGTAGAGAGTGGGTGCTGCAGATAGCCTAGTAGAGAGTGGGAAATAGGGATGCATGGTTGGATTATCACCTTGTAGCTAGCAACTCTCTGCCTGCACTTGATCAACCTGCCACAGTCCCGATCCAAAATGCAACTAATCACGGGATGTCTAATGGAGGATCTTCAACCCAATTTATACGCCCACACAATATTTCTCTAGTGACACGATCCGACAAGGCAATGCAAAATTGAACTCAAAACTGAAAAATTACAATTTAGGATTTCCTACAACAATTGAAAGTCCCAGATGATTTATTGGTCAAAAGGGATTCTATGTGGGAACTATGTTTGGTGGTCTATTTCTTAGATAAAAAACTTTCTTTCCACTATGTGAAGACATGGGCACACACAGCTTGGGGGGAAGGTTTGCAAAATGTATTGACCTTTGAGAAGGATCTTTTTCATTTCAAACTCACAAGTGAAGCAGCAATTGGGCAGATCTTAGGGTACCATCATTATTGTTGTGGGAGGTTCACAATATTAAAAAGGTAGCACCCATCTCCAATTGACCAAAGAGAACCTCACTAAGCTTCTAATTTGGGCTAAATTCTTTAATATGCCATTGCATCTATGGCATGGTGATGGATTGAGTTTCTTGGCGAGTGTTTTAGCCACTGCTTTATATCTTGATGAATGCACTCAATCAAGAACTATTACTTAATTTTGCTACAGTGTGCATTATAAAGCTCGTAAAGAACTTTTGGAGGCCTTCACAATCAAACTTAGTGATGGCATGGTTTATGTGTAATAACCCGACCCTCTCATATGCTTTATTTCCCTCATTATATGTGTGATTATGTGATTGATGTGAAAAGCCATGTTTTAATGTGTGAATTATATGTTTACAACCTTGTGTCTGTCGATTACGAGAAAATCTGTTGAAATTACCACATTTGGATTAAAAATTGAAGGCCTTAGAGGCGCCCTAACCGGAAATTGACTTTACAGTTGTGATTATCATGATTTTTAGGACATAATATGAAATTTTGTAAAAATTTGATTCGTAATGATTTAATTGACTTTCTTTGGCTAATTTCCTAATTAAGTCCCATTTTGACTCAAAAAGCTTAAGAGAGATAGATATATACAAGAGCCTTAGGAGAATTAGACAAAAACATATAAAAATATCTCCTAAAGGAAATATAGAGGAGAAGGAAGAGAAGAAAGAGAGAGAAGAAGAAGAAGTCAACATAGGAGCTTGGGGATTGAGGAAATTGAAAGAAGATTCAAAGGAGTTCAAGGTAAGTGGGAATCATCTAGAATACCTCTCAATCTTCCTTAAATGGCTTGAAACAAGACCTAAAATGAAGCTTTGGCACTCTTGGAAATTAGGGTTTATGAGTTATGAACTTGATTGAGTAAATCTCATGAAAGTGAACATGTAATCTTTACATTTTATTTGGTTTATGACTTGATTCTTTCATTTTGGGTTTGATTTGAGATGGATTATAAGAAATTGCTATCTAATCTTATCTCTTGCATACTTTGAGCTCATGTATATATGTATATATATGAAAAGATGAAGAAATGAAGAAAAATGGAGATTAGGGTTTTATATAAGCTTGAGTTTCCTATTTATTGTGTTCATATGTTATGATTTTGAAGTGGTGTTGCTTGATTTGTGCCTTAGAAATGCCTTTGATAAGCTTGAATTTGTTGGATTTTCGAACTGCACAAACAGAGCCAGAATCGCACATGCAGGGCTCATGGCCGCAAGTGCAGGATGCACAGCCACACGTGCGGGACTCATAGCCACACGTGCGGAAAATAGGAAAGGTAAGGTTGGCATTCTGAAATAAAAGCAAGTGCGGGGCCGCACGTGCGGTAGACCTATCCGCACGTGCTGTGAGCGACCTCCGCACGTACGGGAATTGGGGAAAATTCTGTTACTTTCTGTTGCTCTTGTCAACCCTCTGAATCTGTTAATGTGTATATTAATTTCTCCGAAATGCTTAAAACTGATTAAAACAATGAACAAAATAGAAGAATGGTGAAAGTCAAGAAACTAAGAAAAGAATGCATTACTTACCAAATTATGTGTGTGATGTGTAGGTCACTTGCCGGAAGGGACCATCGCACAACCGGATCACTATGAGTAGTAGTAATGTTATGATATGTTAAATGTTGCAAATTGTATATTTTTTGATCACGAATGACATGTTTGATACAATTTATGTTCAATTAAAGTGGTTGAGCATCTGACAGCATTGGCATATGAAATGGGCCTAAGGCCATTCTGTTATTATATTAGGCCTGAGGCCATTCTATTATTATATTGGGCCTGAGGCCATTCTGTTATTATATTAGGCCCGAGGCCGTTCTGTTATTATATTGGGAATATTGGGCCTGAAGCCGTTCTGTTATCATATTGGGCCCGAGGCAATTCTATTTTTGTGTTGGGCCCAAGGCCGTTTTGTCTTCTGTGGGCCCGAGGCCATTCTGAAATGTGATTGTGGATAAGTTATACATTTGTTATACCAATATTCTTCAAGACACATGCTCATTATATGCCTCCTTGTATTATTATTATTATTACTCACTAAGCCTTGCTCACTCCGTATTTATATATATTTTGTAGGTGGTCAGCCTGGAGGCCAGCCCTAGGTCAGCTTCAGGAAGCTTTTGACGAACCCATTTTGTTAAGCCTTTAACATTGGAATCTTTTTGTCTTTTGAGAAGTTCCATTAATGCTACCTTTTTGTTTAACCTTTGGTGGCTACACTTTGTTGATATAATAAGTTTGAATCGTTAACTCTTTGTATATAGGTAGTTGACTTGGACTTGTGTATATATGGCCTGTGTATGTGGTCTTTCTATATTTGACGATGTGTTAGAATCCTGGCATTAAAGCATTGCTCAATAGACGTTCCGTTATAAAATTTTGCTTCCACTTTAGGCCTCGATATGATTGGATTATTTTGAAACTATGTTTTGAGGCCTAAACACAGGTCAGTCATGGCCTAAACTTCTAGGGGCAAGTTCGGGTCGTGACATTATGATATCAAAGTAGAGGTCCAGCGGAAACCCCAAATGTGGAATAGATGTAACTCATTTGGTCATACCTACACTCAGTGCCACCTTAATCCTCCAAACCCCTCTTTGCAAGTGTGGAGAAACAAGGATAATGAGGTATCTTTGAAGGGAGATCAAGCTCAAGTTATTGTAAAGGGTGAAAAGGCTTGTGTGCCTTCTTTGCAAGTGAGCTGTCAAGGAGTAGTATATCTAGATTATACTTCTAAATCTTTTTTCAATCTCTCTTGAATCTTTTCCAAATCTTCAGCAAGAAATTCTATAGTCTAATACCTATCAAGAAAGTAAGGAAAAGGGAGTGAAGGATAAAGAAGGTAAAGGTGGGGACATTAAACTCTTTCAAGCAAATGCTCTTAGCCCCCTCTACCCAGAATAAGAAGAAAGACAAAGCTAAGAAGTATGAGCACAAGTCGTTTTAGGTTTATGCCTTGCTTCTCGGGTTAGTGGGAGCTCCTTGTACTTCTAATGCTATATTTTAAGGCACGATTTTCTAGCCCCTTAGGATGTGAGGGAGTTGCAACACGTAATTCTTATTGTTAAATGCTTTGGCCTCAATTAGATATGCATAGCCACACTTATGAGTAGTGTTGGATCCTTGAGCTTGATTGTAATATCTTCTTTTTTTTATCAATGAAAATTTTTGCTTATCGAATAAAATATATATATATGTGTGTTACCCCAATAAGTTGGTGAGGTGCCACTGCAGCTTCTTCCCTCTCAAATACAAGTTTCCAATTGAGTGTCAATGGAGTTAATACAATGCTTTTGATTACAAACAAGACCTTAAAGTCAACTTCTAGAATTTTAATCTGAATTCGAATGATAAAACCAATGTATTTTATAAATTGAAGTTCCTCTCTATTGATATCTTCCACCACTCTTTTGCAGAAACTAAAATGAACATAGCAGGTATTTCATCTTGGATGGCTTGATATCCATTGTTGGGCCAATTTCCTAAAAACTTAATCTCTTAGTATCAGAGCTCAGGTTGAGAGAGGCCTTGGGTTCAAGTCTCTCCATTGGCATTTCGTATTCTGTCCCTGTTTGGTTTCTTCTTCCCTATTTGGTTGTTGGATTCTGTATTTGTCTCTCCACATGCAAGACAGGGTTGCACATAAGGGAGGGTGTTGGATAGCTTGATATACATTGTTAGGCCCATTTCCTAACAGCTTAAGCTTTTGGGAAAATCAGTGACTTAACAATCAAGAAAATGTTTTGATCTATTAGGACTTTCATGGCAGAAGCACCAAAACAAAATCCAGTTGTACTGAGTCAAGATGGAACAACATCTTAAAGATATTACGAGACTAGAACAATAAGTCAAACATTCAAACTGACAACAAATAACTTCTGCCATTTAGCAAGATACCAGTAAAATTACCGATCCACAAACATAAGTGATGCACAAGCTGGTACAGTTTAAGCCCTAGCATGGAAGAACAAGCAGCACCCAAATAATAAAAAAGTTCCTTACTAGAAATCTTGTATGTAGAGTAATTGCCAATTTAAGACCAAGTCGCCTACTAGCATTGATATCTAGCTTTTGGCATACATTTCAAAACTTTTATGTTGAAGTACTGCGTCCATTAGGCATGGAACAAAATTTTGTTTCTTTTTCATCAAAATGGCAACATTTCCATTTTCTGTAAGAAACTGACATAAAACATTGATAGAAAACCAAAATTCCAGCATTTCCATTGAAAAATAAAGTAACACATCAAAACACAATAAACATTGATTTGTTTTGACACATCAAGATTCTTGAACAACATTATTTCTATGTTCCTCTTTTTGTTACTAAAAATAAAAATATTTGCAAACAAAGAAAACAACAAAATTTTGATTGGGAATATGAGAGAGAGAGAGAGAGAATAAGGTTGAGGCATTTATTCTCTTTCTTATTATCACTACTACCTTCTTTTTTTTCTCTTCCCCCTTCTAGAATCTAGTGTTTCCTATTTTTTTTCTTCTCTTAAAATGGAACACCCACTGCTCAACAAAACCTTTAAACCAATGTTTATCATTTTTTTATCTTTCCTGTCTTTGTTGAATTGACCGTTATTCTTAACCTTATTTAAAGACCCTTTTAAACTTGTTACCGAAAAGACATTCCTACCCCTTGGAAAACCTTTAACATTTAATTATTATTAATTAGTGTTATTATTATTTGCTATATATTTGTGAACCTTGTTTGCCAGGAACCTTATGCACAATCATAAATACTTGTGTTTGATAATTCATTTGACTTTAATTTAATGATTTTAGATTTGTATTTACATCTAATACCAAATTGTACACTTGTTCCCTTTATATGAATGGATTAGTAGAACTTAAACATGTTTAATTATGTAACTATTAGGTTACATATACATTTAGATAGGTTTTAGTTTTCTTTTCAAGCACTTTTATGTGTTTCCAAAAAAATTTACTATTTCCTAAATGTTCCTGTTTCCAAGCTAGCCAAAATAACAAATCAAAACAAAATTTTGATCCTTGCAATTAGGTTTTGAGGCCTAATAAATCAATTTTTGTAAAACAAAAGGAATATCTTAGTGAGTTCGTTGTTCTCATCATACTTGGATGAATCACCTAAGAACAATTATATAGCAATAGTAGCAATCATTTCAACCAAGTTCATCCTAGATACTTGGATTTCAACCAAGTTCATCCTAGAGCTAAATAATACTAAGACCACTAACAGAAAAGAAGAAGAAGAAACCAAACTCATTTTTTGGTGATTATCATGCATACTGCACTTAAGTCTTCAATATCAAAGTTACAGCAACTAAACTCAGTTTCATTTAACATCAAAACGGGTTATACAAAATTCCATATTACAAGTAACATTGATAGTGTAATAGAAATAAAGAGGATCAGGTGCAATACTTCTTCTAATAACACATAATGTGCTGCCTAAGAATGCAAGTTGAAAGAACCTAACATCCACACTCCATTTTGGGAAAAAGTTAATTAAGCATATATGCACCTCTGTTGTACATCATGCATTTATACGAGCTAGCATAAGGACGATGTTGTTCTGCAGAAATGAAGATAAAGAAGGCCAGATAAAATGTTCTGTACAACACATGACAATTGCAGCCTGCAGATCCATGATTCCTCACCCTCCCCAATCCTCTCGCAACTTGTTTCAGTCCCATAAGCCTCATGGTACCAAAATAAACTACTTATTTCTGTCTTTATATGCATTTGAAATTTTAAGACTAGCTAGAATAGGGCTTCTAACTTTTTGCTACTCCGAGAAAGTGTGCTAAACTCAAACTTGCTCATTATGTAGGGTCCGTAATACATGATTACATGCATGAACATTGGTGGCCCACTGACACAGAAGCCACAAGAAAAATAGCATTATTTTGTCTCATTCTTTTTCTGCCCAAGTGCAAGAAACAGAAGTATCTAAGTTTTCTTGTGCACATGCATTAGAATTCGAGCATTGTCAATGAACAATGACAAAATTTAAAACCAAAAGTACAAATATAACAACTCCTCTATATATTTTAAAACAAATCTGCCCAAAGCATAAACAGATTAACATTTGACTTGGGTCATAGAAACTCTATGCAAAATAACAGACCAGCTGGCTCCAGCATGGAAACTTACAAGAAATAATTTATTACCCTGGGAATAAAGAGTTTCAAAATCATGCACTGTTAAGCATCCTTCTTTTGTCACTGATGCCAAGTATATACCCTGAGAAAAATAAGAGCAACACATAAAATACAAACTGAGTAAATGTGAAGGAAACAATAAACAACAAAGAAACAATAATGAGAAAGCTTTATAAGCATATAGACTTGAACTTGTGTATCATTTGCATAAACAGTGCCTGTGTGAGTTAATGTATATAAGCAAACAAAGAGGCTGCTCTTATCGAAATTACTTCCCATCATCATTCAAGGTCAGAAACTGAGTTGTGACTCAAGCGGGGACGAAAGGTTATCAAAATTGGGATAGTGTACGGGGGCGAAATATCCTCTGTTTTCCGTACTCCTTGTATTCCAAGCTTCTCTTGACGGCGTCTACCTGGCAACACAGAAACGGTGAGCTGCCCGGCGGTGGTGTGTCGGATAGACCCTCCGACGATCAAGTCAGTCCACTTGAGGAAGAAGAAGACTGTTAGAGAGAGAGTATTCTCTTTGGGGAAAAAGTTGCATACCTCTAACGTTCACCTTCCTCCACTATTTCTAGGCTGGCCATGCAGCCCCAAGATCGTGCGCGCACCACCTCTGTTGTCCTTCCCTGGACAAGTGGCAGTGCTTGCCTCCCACCACCTTACGCGTGTAAAGATTTCGTCCTCCAACCAGTACATGCGGAACTGCCAAACGGTATTGGTGCGTGCGTGGAGCAGATGTCCTCTTCCTCACGCCATTGACCCAGGTGGCACACTTAACCGGAGTACCACGACCAGCTGGTTCCTTGTGGAGAATTGCCTCCTCGAACACATAACCGAGCTAAAGAACGCCGACCTGCCCCTTGGCAAAGGGGCCAAAGTGTTATGCTCATGGCCGGGCTATTTATGATCGATCCCACCTGACTGAACGGCCATGAAGCACGCTGGACTTTCACCATTCTTCATTCTTGATCACATGAAGCCCGTCCATCTCGGCCGATCGGTTAGGCGCATGCCGACGCTAATCGCATCTCAAATCCAGTCCGGGCTGCTCTTAGCTTGGTCATCAGACACTGCTGCGCGCTCAGCCGTGTCATAGCTCGGCCAGGCATTGGTTCGTGTCTGGCCGGTCGACCTCTCCGACCGTGCAAGTCAGGCCGCTGGGCCGAGCAAAAGAGGAGTCTGCTCGGCGGAGTGCAGTTCGTCATGATCGGCGTTATCGTAGCTCGGCCGTACTAACGCGCAAATCTCCCCTCTCAATTGCCCCTTAACCCCATCCGACCTAGTCGTGATTGGGGTTACCATCGTGACCGAGCTAACGGATGAGTTGCGCCATTACCAAGCCGAGCATGATTGGGGGCATATCTATCGCCGAGCTGTCCCGTTTGGTCGGCCATTTCCTCCGCAGTCTCATCAAAGGTCGTACAGCCGTACTGATAGTCGCGTTTCCAGTGCCACGTGGCTTCACACCATTGGGTCGTGCAGCCAGCTGTTCTGCACGTGCAGAATTCAAACGGCGCAGCCGTTTGGGTTCCTTCCCCCCTCTTTTGTATTCCAACGAAGGGCCTAAAACCCTTCACTTTTCACCTTCTCTTCCACACAAACCCTAAACCCTAGCTTCCATATTCTCTGAGAAATTGCCGTCACTGCCGCTGCATCTCACCTGCTTCCGTTCCTATTTTTTGTTTCTCGTGAGGCCACAACCAAGTTCAAGAGGCCCTGCTCTTGCATCTGGTATTTGGTAAGTCCTCCTACCCTTCCTTCAAACTCTCGTACAGGAGTTCCTCAAGTTTTCCACTTTTTTGTGCTTGTATTCTTCATGTTTATGCTTGGGGCCATTAGAGTTGCTTTCCCTTGCTTAGATCTTGCACACCCTAAGGCAAACAAAAACAGTAGGAATGGATGGGGCTTTCGTGCCCCTTGTTTCTCCTGGGTTCGAACGAGTTCGTCCTATTTCTGGGATGAACAGTTTGAATCTGGGTAGAACCGAGCTAAACGCTCGTTTAGATCCATAAATGACACTACGGCCGAGCAAAAAACTGGTTTGTGGCTTCTCGTAGAGACTGTAGCCGAGCCGAACTACTAATTAGACCGGTAATAGAACTGAATGGGGCGAAAACTTGAGGTCGTTACTTGGGCCTTGACCGAGCTAAAGGCTCAGTTAGTTCGTCAAATAGGACCCGACCGAGCTATAACTTTGTTAGGATCTCCTTCTTGGACCTTGACCGAGCCAGAAGTGGAGAGTTAGAATCGAACTAGGAAATTGACCAAGTAGCCTAGCCGAGGTAGGGGTCGAACCGGCCAAACACTAATAATCCCTTCACTGAGCCAATTCCCATAGGGGCCGCGCAATTTATGCCGTGCTAACCCTTGGAATTATTTTTTAACATGCAGAACAAATAGGACCGACCAAGCCAGTCCAGCACTATAATTGGTGGAGCTCAAAGTTCGAGCAAACACACCAACATTTTTGTCCGAGATACAAGTTAGTTCACCAAATAAAACCGAGATAGATGGGCAAGTACCGATTCATGGTGAGCTCGCCCGGTGCGATGGCCGAGTTTCGTAGGGAGTACAACATCCCAGATGACGTCATCTTAGAACTCGCCAAAAATGGAGACACCCCTTGGGGGGATCTAGACCGATGCCCCTTCACCGTCGTATCAATAGTAGAGGGAGGGCTCCGCTTCCCGGTTCAACCCTTGATCTGCGAATTTTTGAGGCAAACAAGGCTTTGCCCGACCCAAGTTTCCAATAACACTTACAAAATAATAAACGGGGTCGCCGAGCTGAACCGGAGGCTCGGTCTCAATCTCGGTCTGGCTAAAATTTTCCATCAGTGTAGTCTAAGTAGAAATAAGAGTGGGCTTTGCTGGTACCTCAAAGTCAAGAAGGGCCGAGCAAAGCTAATAGAGGGCAACCCGGACAAGGAGACCAACGACGACGACTTCTTGTGGGTGTCCGGTCGCTATGAGGACACCGAGACACCCATACCGGGATGGTATATTAGAAAGGATTTTGGCAATGCCGATGAGTCGCTCGGCTGACCGCGCTATTTTCTTTATGCATCAATTACTTTCCATGCCGATCTAACACTTCTTCTTTTTGCAGCTAAGCACCTAGCAGCAAACTACCACCAGGCCAACCAAGGGGCCATCAAAGCCCTGCTGTGCCATCCTGCCGAGGAGAGGGAGGCTTCGAAACTGCTCGGCTTTGAACAGACATACCACTACACCGCACCGTGCAAGAGCCGGGTTACCGACTTTCTGCGTGCGCTATCCCCAGAACCAGATCCAAACCTACCACCGATCAGGCTTGTTCCACTCACTGCTGTGCAAGAAATGGCGAAAATCAGGGCAATCAAGTCCATGATTACTGGTGAGGAGGGCGAGTCCCAACCACCGGAGGCAACGGAGGGAACATCATCCGCACCTGCCGGGCAGAAGAAGAGTGCGGTATTGGCCCTCACCAGCGAACAACCGGCTGGCCGGTTAAAGAAAAGACCGAGGAAGGACCCGGCCGGGCAAAGCCTCGCTGATGAAGACTCCACTGAGCTCGGCGCCACCGAGCTGGGCGACCAGACCGAACAACCATTGGGCGGGCCTTCCAAATCCCCGAGTTCCCCCCCGGTCTGGGCACCCGAGATAACGTACAAGGGCCGGGCAGTCTCGTCTGCTGATTCGGTGTATGCTGACAAGGATTACTCCCTTGGTTTCAATATGACCAAGGGGCTAATCCTTCCAGCCGACATGAAGAAGCACGACGAGCTGTCCGATCTGAAAGTGCTTCGCTCGACAGCCAAGTCGATAGTGCTGGTAAGTTTTTCAGTTTGTCTTCAAGTCATTGCTCGGTTTCTGTTCGGTTGCCTTGGTACTCATGATCTCTCATTTGCTTACAGGCCGCGCAAAAGAATTACCTCGCCCACGAGCGTATGATCGTCGTGCGGTAGAGTCTGCGTGAGGCCATCGCCGAGAATAATTCCCAAAAGGCCGAGATAACAAAACTCAAGGCCGCGCAAGAAGCGGTCGCGGCGGAGCGAGACATCCTGAGCCAAAAGGTCGACCGAGCTGACGAAGACAAGCAACGGGCCGTGAAGTCAATGAAGGCTCGGTACCTTGCCGAGCTGAGGAAACTGTGCGATGCCAACAAGGTAGCCATGGACAAGGCGGTCGATGATGCCGAGGACCGGGGATACGCTCAGGGCGAGAAGACTTACAAGTGCCAGGTCCAAGCGACCAAGGACATCTTTTTCCAGTGCAGTTGGAAAGCCGCCGTGGAAAAAGTTGGCCTTGGTCAGGACACTGACATGTTCCTTAACCCCCCTGCAGCCTACATCCCGGTCTATATGCAGGCGTACGCTAGTGCTACCCAGAACCGACTTATCGCTGAGGCAAGGAAAGAGGCCGAGGAAGAAGCCACCGCCGCGCAACAAGCCGAGCAAACCACTACCGAAGCATCCCAACATACGGAAGATGAAGTGGCTGATCGGGAGGTTGCTGTGGAGGATGGAACAGACGATGACGCCGGGGAAAACCGGCCCGAGCAGACAACTGAGATCGCTGAGCAGACGGTGGAGGCAGCCGAGCAAACCGTGGACCTTGAACTTAACTAAAGATCTTCCTTGTTTTGTTTTTGTTTTTTTTTTTTTTGGATGTAACGGGCTATGTCCCCCATCTTGTACTGAAATTTCCTTTATCAATGAAAATTTTCTACTTTTTGCTCGTTTAACTTCCATTTCTTTTCAGTTGGCATGTGCATAAATTCCTTGATTCAAACTGGTAGGTTGGCTTCGCCGCGCACCAAGCCGAGCTGAAATTAGAGTTGCTCCACTTAAACTCACTTCTTTCCCTGAGCCGAGCATAATCAGCTCGGTCTGAGCAACAATTAGCTCCGCCATTCTGGCTTTGACAATGTTCTAAGTCTCGTTTTTGGGTGGGGCAAATTAGCTCGGTCCCAATAGGAAGTTGGGGGAAATCACAAACATTTCATTTCCGCTGAGCAAAATCAGTTCGGCGTACATTGGAATTACCAATGTCCCAATGTGGCCGAGCAAAATCAGCTCGGCCTGGCGTTGGACAGG